CCAATGGCCACCAGTTTAGGGCAGTGCTGATGACTACACTCTAAGCTTCACATATGGAAAAGAAGAAAAGCCAACTACTACGAGGCTCATTAATCACCAACTTACAGCAATATCTACCAGAGGAAAGTGATGGCAAGTCATATTTGGGACAGAAGCAACATGCGGCGATGGTGATAACTAACGTAAATTGGACAGGTATTTTGCAAATTGGACAGGTATACAAACTAGTGAAAGAAACCTGTAGTGTTTAAGAACAAAGTCAACACCTTGGGAATGAAGTTTAACTCTTCAGTGACCATAACAATTCACTTAGAGAGAGAGTGCTTATCCTAGAAAGCCAAGTAACTGCCATTAAGTGAATCTCACACCTTCTTGACAGCAGTGGCTGCCAAACCTTATATGAGGCCCCACCAAGTGTGCTCTCATCTGGAGTATGTATATCCCTCTCCTGGATGGCCAGTTCCCGCCCCCCCCTTCCTCATTTATCAGATTTTTAGACAATGTGAAGAACTGTGCATACGTCAGGCTGCGAGCAGCTGCGTCTAACAGCCTGCTTGACCAGACCACCAACCAGGAGGCCTGGACGGAGACCGGGCCGTGGGGCTGCGTGGGGGTTTTCATTTTTGCTTTCATGACTGCAATGCGTACGTCGCCAATGTACATGTGGCAGACGCTTCACGAAGCTGTCGGAATTAGCAGAATAGAAAATACGAGAGCAACCGTACAGGGCCTGGGAGCACGGTCGAGTTAGAGTCCTTGAGGGTCTCTTCTCAGACTAGCCTCACCTGGTCCTGGTCCACGTTGATCCTTGGAATCTCCTCAATGATTTAACACTTTAAGGGACTCCCAGGGTCCTGTCGACCAGACCACACACTAGAAGCTAAAGGGACGACGACGTTAAAGGGACGAATGGTTCGCCCTTGACCATTCTCAAGTCGATACATACTTTAGCCACGTTATTGTGACTCATCGCCATCCTAGGGTCCTCATCACATTTATAGTTTAGTGAATTAGGCAACTCGGTGTTGGAGACACCTGGAGCTGAAGGCTTGAGTAAATAGTTGGCAGTATTCAGAAGTGGTTCCACGGAAACACCGCATAAAGCTTAACAGTAGTTTATTTACTAACCTAACCACTAATACACAGGGTGCTTGATTTACTTTAGATTGGCGTCAGCAAGGCTATGGTTATATTAGCGAGACTCTTGACGTCTGGCTAACGGCTCGTATCCACTCGTGGCGAAACACCTAACTTAAAACAGTTGACAGCCAATCATTAACACGGCAACCTAACTGCCGGTATGCAAAGGGATCACAAGAGTTCCAACCGGATACTCGGTAATGATGATATGCAATAAACACAATGGCACTGTCAATTGGACAGGCAATAGTAGTAGTAGTAGGCATCCTTCAGTCTCGGGAGACTATGGAGTTGCGCCCTAGTTGTCAATCCTGGTGCAGCGTCTGGTGTGACTGATGAGGCCAATCCGAGAGTGGCAGTCCATCCCACACCGAGCACAAACGAAGTCCGATTCTGGTCTGTCTTCCCGGCTACCGGCTTTCCTTCTCGGACAGGCAATAACATGCACAATAATATGTCACACAATAACTTAATGTGTGGTGTATGTGAAGCTCACATTCACAGACGAGTGAAATGCCGTGATACCACACAGATAACATGCATACACCGTCGATTCACCTATAACCAGTGACAGGTATGAAAAGCTGAGAACTGTGGTTGATACCTCAGATCAACACAGACACAATAAAACAATGACAAGACCTTGTACTTACAGATAAGGTACCTTTCCTTACTCAGTCACTCAGGCACATTTATGCAAGAACTCGTAGGTGGCCTGACAGCTGGGCGCTCGTTCTGACGTGAGACCATTGACGACAGGCTTCCCACAATCCGTACTTGACACGGGGGTACTGCAGGAGGGCGTGCTGTATGCTTAACAGACAGACACACGCAAATACTTTTGCCTGAAGCTCAGGGCGTCTCGTGGGCACACAACACAAAACATTACGATTTGACCAATAGCATTGCAGCAAATGAGCGGGAACCAATCATATTGACCGTTTGATGATCAGTAGCAGGAGTGACGTCATGAACACGGCACGACCACGTCATAGCTGTTATTTTCTATCACGCCGGTTGACCCCAGAGGTCAGACACTGCTGGCGTCTCCCCTCTCTCCCATGCTCCCACCGGCCAATGTACCCACTGACCCTTGGTGGCAAGTATGCTTAACTCCCTGTATCTACTTCGTGCCTGGACATACGGCGGCCTCCGTATTATGAAAGTGTTCCTGGTTAAATGGGCATTCTGGAGATCCCCAACATGCCAGGTCACTATCCAGGATTAACAGAAATAGGACCTTGTGCACGAAGATCAGTGCACTGTGTACTGCAATGAGCCATTCTAGTCAGCTGTGGGAGAATCTTGGGAGACATACTCCCACAGGCTGCTGATCCCCGGAAGCTACACAAGGTAGACACAAGGTAGGTCTACTCCTGACCTGTTCTGAATGGACTAGTGAGCACATCGATGCCTTCGACATCAGAGAGATGTCGCCGGAGTTACTGTTACGCACAAGGCAAACAGTCTCCGCGACTGTCAGCTCTCCCAACCTGTGCACCACCACAAGCTGACCAGCACAAGACCAGGCGCTCAGCACTTACCACCTGCACGCTGGCTGTGCCTCGCTCAAGCACCTCACGCTGGCTGTGCCTCGCTCAAGCACTTCACTTCAGAGCGCACCTTCATCACTGGGCTGACTCACGCATCTGAAACACGTTCGCTTAACATGGAGCTGTGCGGGTGATCAGGACTTAACATGGAGCTGTGCGGGAGATCAGGACTTAACATGGAGCTGTGCGGGTGATCAGGACTTAACATGGAGCTGTGCGGGTGATCAGGACTTAACATGGAGCTGTGCGGGACATCAGGGCTTAACATGGAGCTGTGCGGGTGATCAGGACTTAACATGGAGCTGTGCGGGTGATCAGGACTTAACATGGAGCTGTGAGGGACATCAGGACTTAACATGGAGCTGTGCGGGACATCAGGACTTAACATGGAGCTGTGCGGGACATCAGGACTTAACATGGAGCTGTGCGGGACATCAGGACTTAACATGGAGCTGTGCGGGACATCAGGACTTAACATGGAGCTGTGCGGGACATCAGGACTTAACATGGAGCTGTGCGAGACATCAGGACTTAACATGGAGCTGTGCGGGACATCAGGACTTAACATGGAGCTGTGCGGGACATCAGGGCTTAACATGGAGCTGTGCGGGACATCAGGACTTAACATGGAGCTGTGCGGGACATCAGGACTTAACATGGAGCTGTGCGGGACATCAGGACTTAACATGGAGCTGTGCGGGACATCAGGACTTAACATGGAGCTGTGCGGGCGATCAGGACAAACAACTAGAAGATGAAGGTGTGGGCCCACAGTTTCCTCCCGACGCATCCTCTTTCCTGCTATCATAATAATAATATTAATAAATTGTCATCCACACATTCATGAAATAGACATTTCAGTCACCTTTACTCTCGGAGACTCGAACCACAGATCGCAGGCGTGTGACGTCGAAGCTCTATCGACCATGCTATTAAGAGGTCTTAATAGGGAACGATCCCAGAAGCAGCAGCCTGCTGCTAAACTGAAATTTTCGACTCCCTCCTGACTACTAGAGTCCAGACAAATGAAATAATAATGTTTATTGAGGGGAAAAGTACATTCAGGCATACAAAAATGAGTTACAAGTAGAATGTTGGATTTGTTGATTGGTTGTTACTTAATACTTGAGTGTTAGTTATTGATAAAGGTTAATAAAAGGGTCACCTTGGTGTAGGTGAGAGGGGGGAGCTTCAGAGGTGATGGAGGGTGAGAGGTAACTCTTATCTTGAAGTTTCACTAAGAACGTTAACACAATTTTCGATGAATTATTGTCTAAGTTTAAGAGAGAGAGAGAGAGAGAGAGAGAGGGGAGAGAGGGAGAGAGAGAGAGAGAGAGAGAGAGAGAGAGAGAGAGAGAGAGAGAGAGAGAGAGAGAGAGAGAGAGAGAGAGAGAGAGAGTGAGAGAGAGAGAGAGAGAGAGAGACGAGGTAGAGAGCCAGACAGACAGGGGTGGGGGTGGGGGGGGGGGGTCAATATAGAGCAACAGGCGTTCTGTGGACAATATCGACCCCTAAGGGACCAGGCGGTGGTGCCCCTCCCTTCACCAGCCTCCGACACGGAGCCTAGCCGCTGAGCCTAGCTGCAGAGCCTAGCTGCAGAGCCTAGCTGCAGAGCCGAGCTGAAGAGCCTAGCCGCTGAGCCTAGCCACGGAGCCTAACCACGGAGCCTAGCCACGGAGCCTAGCCACGGAGCCTAGCCACTGAGCCTAGCCATTGAGCCTAGCCACGGAGCCTAGCCATTGGGCCTAGCCACTGAGCCTAGCCATTGAGCCTAGCCACTGAGCCTAGCCATTGAGCCTAGCCACGGAGCCTAGCCACGGAGCCTAGCCATTGAGCCTAGCCACTGAGCCTAGCCACGGAGCCTAGCCACGGAGCCTAGCCACGGAGCCTAGCCACGGAGCCTAGCCACTGAGCCTAGCCATTGAGCCTAACCGCGGAGCCTAGCCACGGAGCCTAGCAACGGAGCCTAGCCACGGAGCCTAGCCACGGAGCCTAGCCATTGAGCCAAGCCACTGAGCCTAGCCATTGAGCCTAGCCACGGAGCCTAGCCACGGAGCCTAGCCACGGAGCCTTGCCACGGAGCCTAGCCACGAAGCCTAGCCACAAATAAAAACTTGCATAATATTAACAGGAGAACATCAGGAGTGCAACAGGGAGGGTAACAGGGAGGGTAACAGGGAGGGCAACAGGGAGGGTAACAGGGAGGGCAACAGGGAGGGTAACAGGGAGGGCAACAGGGAGGGTAACAGAGAGGGCAACAGGAAGGGTAACAGGCAGGGTAACAGGGAGGGTAACAGGGAGGGCAACATGGAGGGCAACAGGGAGGGTAACACGGAGGGCAGCACGGAGGGCAGCACGGAGGGCAGCACGGAGGGCAACACGGAGGGCAACACGGAGGGCAGCACGGAGGGCAGCACGGAGGGCAGCACGGAGGGCAACACGGAGGGCAGCACGGAGGGCAACACGGAGGGCAGCACGGAGGGCAGCACGGAGGGCAGCACGGAGGGCAGCACGGAGGGCAGCACGGAGGGCAGCACGGAGGGCAACACGGAGGGCAGCACGGAGGGCAGCACGGAGGGCAACACGAAGGTCAGCACGGAGGGCAGCACGGGAGGCAGCACGGAGGGCAGCACGGGAGGCAGCACGGAGGGCAACACGGGGGGCAGCACGGAGGGCAGCACGGGAGGCAGCACGGAGGGCAGCACGGGAGGCAGCACGGAGGGCAACACGGGAGGCAGCACGGAGGGCAGCACGGGAGGCAGCACGGAGGGCAACACGGGGGGCAGCACGGAGCGCAACACGGGGGGCAGCACGGAGGGCAGCACGGAGGGCAGCACGGAGGGCAACACGGAGGGCAGCACGGGGGGCAGCACGGGGGGCAACACGGGAGGCAGCACGGAGGGCAGCACGGAGGGCAACACGAAGGTCAGCACGGAGGTCAGCACGGAGGGCAACACGGAGGGCAGCACGGAGGGCAGCACGGAGGGCAACACGGAGGGCAGCACGGAGGGCAGCACGGGGGGCAACACGGAGGGCAGCACGGAGGGCAGCACGGAGGGCAGCACGGAGGGCAGCACGGAGGGCAGCACGGAGGGCAGCACGGAGGGCAACACGAAGGTCAGCACGGAGGTCAGCACGGAGGGCAGCACGGAGGGCAACACGGAGGTCAGCACGGAGGTCAGCACGGAGGGCAACACGGAGGGCAACACGAAGGTCAGCACGGAGGTCAGCACGGAGGGCAACACGGAGGGCAGCACGGAGGGCAACACGGAGGGCAGCACGGAGGGCAGCACGGAGGGCAGCACGGAGGGCAACACGGAGGGCAGCACAGAGGGCAGCACGGAGGGCAACACGGAGGGCAGCACGGAGGGCAGCACGGGAGGCAGCACGGAGGTCAACACGGAGGGCAGCACGGGGGGCAGCACGGAGGGCAACACGGGAGTCAGCACGGAGGGCAGCACGGAGGGCAGCACGGGAGGCAGCACGGAGGGCAGCACGGAGGGCAACACGGAGGTCAGCACGGAGGGCAGCACGGAGGGCAGCACAGAGGGCAGCACGGAGGGCAGCACGGAGGGCAACACGGAGGGCAACACGGAGGTCAGCACGGAGGGCAGCACGGGGGGCAGCACGGAGGGCAACACGGAGGGCAGCACGGCGGGTAGCACGGAGGGCAGCACGGAGGGCAACACGGAGGGCAGCACGGCGGGCAGCACGGAGGGCAGCACGGAGGTCAGCACGGGAGGCAGCACGGGAGGCAGCACGGGAGGCAGCACGGAGGGCAGCACGGAGGGCAACACGGAGGGCAGCACGGCGGGCTGCACGGAGGGCAGCACGGAGGTCAGCACGGAGGTCAGCACGGAGGTCAGCACGGGAGGCAGCACGGCGGGCAGCACGGAGGGCAGCACGGAGGTCAGCACGGGGGGCAGCACGGAGGGCAACACGGAGGGCAGCACGGAGGGCAGCACGGAGGGCAACAGAGAGGGCAGCACGGAGGGCAGCACGGGGGGCAGCACGGGGGGCAGCACGGAGGGCAACACGGAGGGCAGCACGGAGGGCAGCACGGAGGGCAACAGAGAGGGCAGCATGGAGGGCAGCACGGGGGGCAGCACGGAGGGCAGCACGGAGGGCAGCACGGAGGGCAGCACGGAGGGCAGCACGGAGGGCAACACGGAGGGCAACACGGAGGGCAGCACGGAGGGCAGCACGGAGGTCAGCACGGGAGGCAGCACGGGAGGCAGCACGGAGGGCAGCACGGAGGGCACCTCAAACAGGTAAAAATGTAAACACTCTGTGTTTCCTGGAAATTGCTCTGTATATTTGGCTAAAATTAGCTTCTACGAACATGCCATCAAATTGGTCTATTTATAACCTCTAAAATGATTTCTACTTCTATTTTCTCCTCGAAAAAATCGTATATTGATTTAAAAATATATTTATCTATAAACATTTTAGCGAGTGAGTTGAAAATTAGACGTAAAAATCTTATTGAAATTAAATGCATACATATAAATTAAACGTTTAGGAAAAGTCTTCAGTAGAATTGAATATATATGAAGGGGTGACTTAATCATTTATTTACAACTAGCAGTGTCCGGCCACGCGTTGCTGTGGCTCAGTAACGCATGTGCATTGCTGAGCCACAGCAACCTTCCCTGTCCCCCAGTCCTCCCTACTATTCCCCCCTCATTCGTCTCCTCGGCCTCCCCACCATTCCCCACTCTACCATCCCCTCGTCTTTGCCCACCATGCCCCACTCTCCTGTCACTTTGTCCTCCCCACCATTCTCCATTCCCCCCATCCCCAACATTCCCCACTCCCTCGTACGATGCCTTCCAAAATGGGCTGGTGTTCCCATCAGAAAATTGGGAACATCAAGTGATCTGATGTTCCCATCACTGAAATATAAGAAAAACAGTTAAAAAATGAAATGAAAATATGAAAAAAATAAACAAAAACTCTACTCACAAAATGAACGGTATGGTAAACAACACAGCTCAATTCCTACGCAATCCGCACAAAATAATTAAATCCAAATGAAATTAAATCAAAATATATGAAAATTCAATTTATCAATGCAATCAGAAACATTGAAATGGAATTGTAACATATTTAGTATAGCATGTGTGTTACTCTTGCATACAAGAGAGAGCGTTGTTTTTCAAGAAAAGCATAGTTTCACCTGTCATAGGTGCGGCATCTATACTTTTACCTATGAAATGAACGGTATGGTAAACAACACAGCTCAATTCCAACACAATGTCACACAAAATAATTCAATAAAAAATAAAATTTATCAAAATCAATGAAAATAAAATTTATCAGTGCAATCGGAAACATTGAAATGGAATTCGTGTTATATTTAGTATAGTGTGCATATTGCTATTATGTACATCAGATGGCGCTGATTTTCAAAGAAGCATGTTTTTACCTGTCACAGGGGTGGCATCTATATAGTAGGCATATAAAAAGACGCACCTATTCGAATGCAACGCTGTGTCAAAATTTCGAAACAATCGGTAAAGAGGTTTCGAAAATTTCCCTCACATGAAAAACACAGGAAAACACAGCTTTAAAAAAAAAGCAGGTTTTCTTCCCGTCACAGACGTGACATCAATAAAGTAAGTATATAATAACCCGCTCGGATGCGAATGGAACATTGAGAGAGAATTTCAAGGCAATCGGTGAGATTAGCAATTTTGAACAAACGAACATTTTAATTTTTATTTATATAAATTGTTACATTAGTTTGGGGGGTATACCCTCCACCTCGTGCCCACAGGATGGGTATAGGGTACATAGACCTTCACTCACCACCCACAGGATGGGTATAGGGTACATAGACCCTCACCCACCACCCACAGGATGGGTATAGGGTACATAGACCCTCACCCACCACCCACAGGATGGGTATAGGGTACATAGACCTTCACTCACCACCCACAGGATGGGTATAGGGTACATAGACCCTCACCCACCACCCACAGGATGGGTATAGTGTACATAGAGCTTCACCCACAGGATGGGTATAGGGTACATAGACCCTCACCCACCACCCACAGGATGGGTATAGGCTACATAGACCCTCACCCACCACCCACAGGATGGGTATAGGCTACATAGACCCTCACCCACCACCCACAGGATGGGTATAGGGTACATAGAGCTTCACCCACCACCCACAGGATGGGTATAGGGTACATAGACCCTTACCCACCACCCACAGGATGGGTATAGGGTACATAGACCCTCACCCACCACCCACAGGATGGGTATAGGGTACATAGAGCTTCACCCACCACCCACAGGATGGGTATAGGGTACATAGACCCTCACCCACCACCCACAGGATGGGTATAGGGTACATAGACCTTACCCACCACCCACAGGATGGGTATAGGGTACATAGACCCTCACCCACAGGATGGGTATAGGGTACATAGACCCTCACTCACCACCCACAGGATGGGTATAGGGTACATAGACCCTCACCCACCACCCACAGGATGGGTATAGGGCACATAGACCCTCACCCACCACCCACAGGATGGGTATAGAGTACATAGACCCTCACCCACCACCCACAGGATGGGTATAGGGTACATAGACCCTCACCCACCACCCACAGGATGGGTATAGTGTACATAGACCCTCACCCACCACCCACAGGATGGGTATAGGGTACATAGAGCTTCACCCACCACCCACAGGATGGGTATAGTGTACATAGACCCTCACCCACCACCCACAGGATGGGTATAGGGTACATAGACCCTCACCCACCACCCACAGGATGGGTATAGGGTACATAGACCCTCACCCACCACCCACAGGATGGGTATAGGGTACATAGACCCTCACCCACCACCCACAGGATGGGTATAGTGTACATAGACCCTCACCCACCACCCACAGGATGGGTATAGGGTACATAGAGCTTCACCCACCACCCACAGGATGGGTATAGGGTACATAGACCCACACCCACCACCCACAGGATGGGTATAGGGTACATAGACCCTCACCCACCACCCACAGGATGGGTATAGTGTACATAGACCCTCACCCACCACCCACAGGATGGGTATAGGGTACATAGACCCTCACCCACCACCCACAGGATGGGTATAGGGTACATAGACCCTCACCCACCACCCACAGGATGGGTATAGGGTACATAGACCCTCACCCACCACCCACAGGATGGGTATGAGGCTCACAGTGAAGATATTAAGGTCATGTGCGAGAGGTGAAGAGTGCGCCTCAGAGACAGTTATGTACACACCGCTACACATATACCTTCACTCTTATTTACTAACAGCTTTCCCTCAGCTGTGCTCTGTAGTGTACCACAGGCAGTAGGTACAGCAATGGCTGTACTCACCTGGGAGTACTCACCTGGGTGTACTCACCTGGGGGTACTCACCTGGGGGTACTCGCCTGGGGGTACTCACTTGGGGGTACTCACCTGGGTGTACTCACCTGGGGGTACTCACCTGGGGGTACTCACCTGGCTGTATTCACCTGGGGGTACTCGCCTGGGGGTACTCACTTGGGGGTACTCACCTGGGTGTACTCACCTGGGGGTACTCACCTGGGTGTACTCACCTGGGGGTACTCACCTGGGTGTACTGACCTGGGTGTACTGACCTGGGGGTACTCACCTGGGTGTACTCACCTGGGGGTACTCACCTGGGGGTACTCACCTGGGTGTACTCACCTGGCTGTACTCACCTGGGTGTACTCACCTGGGGGTACTCACCTGGATGTACTCACCTGGGGGTACTCACTTGGGTGTACTCACCTGGGGGTACTCACTTGGGTGTACTCACCTGGGGGTACTCACCTGGGTGTACTCACTTGGGTGTACTCACATGGGGGTACTCACCAGGGTGTACTCACCTGGGGGTACTCACTTGGATGTACTCACCTGGGGGTACTCACCTGGGTGTACTCACTTGGGTGTACTCACATGGGGGTACTCACCAGGGTGTACTCACCTGGGGGTACTCACGTGGGGGTACTCACCTGGGGGTACTCACCTGGAGGTACTCACCTGGGAGTACTCACCTGGGGGTACTCACCTTGTAACACCACTCTAATGTAACACCACTATAATGGAACTAAACAAATAATGTAAACACTACTTTTCCTGAGTAACACTTCCCTATCGGTTGCACTTGGTAACACTGTAATATGAGCTGACATATGATGGTTACACCGGAACCAAAGGTACACTGCCAACAAGGAAATGCTACACAGGATTAAATACGCTGCCACCATCTGCCTTTGACCACTGAGACTATATCAAGCAACGAGGCAAGAAACATTGCTTGACTTGGAGAGTACTTTCTATGACTGTCATTAATTATGAAAACGGTTGTCAGCCACTATATCCAAAAAGGCTAAGAGGATTCAACAATTGACACAGACGGGAAATTTAACATGAGTTTATTGAGACCAAAATTATGTCAATCACCACTTATAAATCCTACTCTAACACTGGCAAAAAGTTAAGAAATTTGGACATGGAACAAAACCTCAGAGATCACACACGTTACCTTAAGACCTCTGTCTCCCTGGCTGAGATGTTCTTCACAGCCCTCTCTGGACCCCGGTGTCCAGCACTCTGTCCTTACTAAGTCCCTACTGGACCTCTATATACAACCCCCACAGGGGGGAGGGGGGAGATCTGCTGTTGCTACCCACCAAGAATGTAAGAGATCGGCCAAACGTGTACAAACACTCAAGAATTTTCATTAAACTTGTTTGACATTCACCATACACTCTTCAAGAGATGAGTTATTAATTACGTGTGTGACTGACCTCTGACCTGGCTAAAAGGGGGAGATCCATGGATGTTTACACATAAGAATCTGGGGTCTAATTCCATTGCAATGTTTGACAAGAGTATCATGAAATATTACATACTTGAAACTAGCTGACTAAGACTAACCCAGGAATTTTTAATCAACATACAAGATAATCCAGAGGTCATCTGGGCTGACCTCTTGGAGAAGGCTTCCCTGGGTGTGAACTCTAAGGGGGGGGGGGAGGTCCTGGGTGTTACAACCTGGGGGGTACTCACCTGAGGGTACTCACCTGGGAGTACTCACCTGGGAGTACTCACCTGGGTGTACTCACCTAGCACAACTTGATGAGTGCAACTATGTTAGCACAGGCGTTACTCACCCCCCCCCCCCTGCTTACTCACACACACTTATAAGCACATAATAGACTTCAAGTGAGCCAGTGAGTGTGTGAAGAAGGTAGCAGCT